GGCCTGCGGGCCTTGTGTTTGACACATGCTTTACAGTTTTCAGTGAAGTGATGTTTTAATCATTTTTAGGCTGTTCTTGTATGAGGTTAAATGAGGTTCAGTTTCATCATTCAGGTTTAAACAATAAAAGCTCAAACTAAAAAAAACTAAAACTGCGTTCAAATGCTCCTTACATCCAAGGATGGTTGACAAGAAGTGTTTTTGCTAGATCTGCAAAATGTTTGTGTTTTGTTATTTGGTCCCTGAAAGAAGTTATAAAACAAAGCAGACTGGGCTCTTCTGGATACAATCAGAGGGCCCACTTCCTCCAGCTCGCCTGAGGCGTGTTATGCTCGCGTCCCTCTGGGGCGGGGCCCGGGCTGGGGGCGTGCTGCCCTCCAAGCCCCCCCCAGAAGCTCTGCCACCCCCCACCTCCCAGAAGTTTCGTTCTCCTCCTTTCCGGAATGTAAGATGTAAATTTGTTTTGGGATTTGTAAAAGTGTTTTGTATTTTGTTAATTTGTTTTTTTAATGTATTTTTTTTCCTGAAATGTAAATTTGTTTTCTAAATGTAAAATTGTTTTCTAAAATGTAATTTTGTTTCAGGATTTGTAAGTGTTTTGAATGTTGTAAATTTGTTTTCTGAAATGTAAATTTGTTTCAGAACACGTAAACGTTTTTCAGGTTTTTTAATGTTGTTTTGCACCTCCAGGCCACCGTAGTGTAGTGTGCGTTTTTGTGCCGTTTGTTGCTGAATATTTGCAGTCAGACATTAGGTTGGGGGTTTGGAGCTGTAAGAGGAGATTTTCAGCAGTTGTCTCATTCTACTCTCTTTGATGATTAGCAAAGTGGCTTCAAGAATCTGTTGATCATCCTCCTTACAGGAGCTTTCTTGCTGAAATTTCATCCTGTGGCTGTTTTATGATTAACACAGTACAAAGCCAGCATTGTAAACCTGTTACTGGTGTCCTTTTATCTGCTTTTTAACACATTGTTTAAGTCGTCCTGTTCTATCCAGCTCCATGCTTGGGTCCACTCCAGTTTTTGTTAGCAGTCACTTATCACATTAGTTTATTTCTGTTATGATGTTCTTCTGAGGTCACATTAGTATAGATGAAGTGTTACTCGTTTAGACATCAGAGTGAAATCGATTGAGAGTGTGGGTTGGTGACACATTACAAGGATATTACATTTTTTCAGTAAATGTGGCACGTATGGATGCACAGGTGCATGTTGCAAAGAGTTCGATGTCTTATTAGAATAAGACACCTTTATGTGATACTGCTGCTGTTAAGAGACAGGAGAGACTGTAAACAAACCACTCGTCATTTTGGCTCATCTGGGCTACTGAATAAATCATTGCAAAGACAGCTCAGCTCTCCATCTCAGTTCCTGTTACACCCCCAACTTTCACAAAACCAGAGTCAAAACTTCCAAATGCCTCATATTAACTAGCTCCTGGCTCTACCGTAAGCTCCATCCTCCCTTATGATTGCAAAAATAAATGTGCCTTCAGTAAGGTTTATGCTCCCACTAATTCTTATATTTAATACTTCTAGGATGTGGATTAATTAGCACTCTTTAGTAGGTGAAAATGCTTCTAAATACTTTTTTCTCTCCACTTCTTTTCCCTCCCATGTGCAGATGATGCAGCTAACCAGCGTACTTGCCTCATCTGTGGGGATCGGGCCACAGGCCTGCACTATGGCATCATCTCCTGCGAGGGCTGCAAGGGTTTCTTCAAGCGCAGCATCTGCAACAAGCGCGTGTATCGCTGCAGTCGTGACAAAAACTGCGAGATGTCACGCAAGCAGCGCAACCGATGCCAGTACTGCCGCCTGCTCAAGTGCCTGCAGATGGGGATGAACCGCAAAGGTAAAGTTGATACCCCCAAAAAATATGTTGCAACACTTACACCTCTACTCTTGAGATACAGTATTAGTTTATGATACAAATAAGCAATCTTAAAAGTACTTTTCATTTAGGTTTAATAAACTATGTTTAGCTGTCCATCTCTTTACATAGTGAAAGGCATAAAACCCTTAAGGAACAAGACTAGAACCAACTTTGGGTAGTTTATCTGCTGCTTTTAAGGGTGCTGATGTCTAACCCAGACATTTGTGTATGTTTGCATTCACCCCAGCTTTGACAAAAAACGTGCACTAAAATGTTCAGCTCACATAAAATAGTGTCTTCTGACTTTAGGCAGTGGAACGTCAAAAAAAAAAAATAGGCAAAAATTTGCAAGGAATCAAAAAAGGAATCTGAGACTTTAGCAAAACACGAGAACCAAATCTCTTTAGAGCTCTGTAGCTCAGACTACATTGCAGAAACGGCTTTTAAAGTTTAAACATCATAGAAAAATGGACTCAACATGTCAGAACTGTCATTTTTATATCTTTTAGAATTTTCAAACAATTTTAATGTAAGTTTTATGATTTTTATTTATTCTAGAGAAATGTGCAAATGACAGTTTATGTCACACTCTGAATTTAAAGCTCTTTAAAAAATTCAAGTGTTTTCAAAGCAAATTCCTTATCTCTGAACTTTCTTTGGTCCATATAGAAATCGTAATCAAACAGGCGTTTTTTTGTCTTCAGTGTATCTCAAACTGAAATAGGAATTAAACTTTTAGAAATACGCAAAGTGCAGAGTGCACACCAAACCTTCCTTAGACTTTATTTTTGTGTTCTGAAGAAAACGTTTTGAGCTAAATTATGTTTGAAATTTTGTCATAAAACACTGCAGAAGCATAAAACTCGTGTGACCATCAGATTTTCTACTGCTCACAGATCTGCCTGAATTTTCACCCCATCTGGTAGACTTACTCTTCAGTCTGTTTCTGTTGGCTCTTTTTAAATGTATGTTTTTACACTTCATGCAAGAAAATGAAGTAATATTTTCTTAGTTTATAATACTAGATATTGTTAGCTATGCTGGAAATTTAGGCTGTAGCTGTATTGGCTTCATTCAACATATTTAATTTACCAACATGTTACTAATTTCATTAAAAAAGATTGTTTCAAGGTTAATAAAACCAGGTCTTTAATCCTAAGCTTCAGTCAGCTCCTGTATGTCCAAATAAAGCTTCTAAACAACAATTCCAGCAACAAGCCTCTGTATTTAGCCTAGTGTCTTATGTGCACGGAGCCAGTTTGTTGCACTTTTATGGGAACACACTGCCCCCTGCTGTGGAAATATGTTCATATTTTCTGGGATCTTCCAAATTGAAGACCTCATTTTGGATATTATACTGTATCTTCAAGACTTTAATTAAAGGCAAGTCTAACATAAAGCATGAAGCAAATTTAACTCTGAGTAATCAACACTTAATTTCTAGGGAAGAAAATGTAAGAAAAACACAGGATAGTGGGACCACTAACTGTAAATGCAAACATAGAGTTGAGCAAATAAAGACAGCAGCAGAGTGAGGAAATGTGCTCAGTTGCTCAGCAGTCTATGGCTACGTTCACACTGCAGGCAAATCCGACCCAAATCCGATTTTTTTTGACCCATCTGACTCATATCCGATTTTTTTATGACAGTCTGAACGCGACAAATCCGATTTTTTCTGACCCATCTGACTCATATCCGATTTTTTTATGACAGTCTGAACGCGACAAATCCGATTTTTTCTGACCCATCTGACTCATATCCGATTTTTTTATGACAGTCTGAACGCGACAAATCCGATTTTTTCTGACCCATCTGACTCATATCCGATTTTTTTATGACAGTCTGAACGCGACAAA